CGCCTGCGGCTAACGGACTCGCCTGAGCCACCGCCACGCGCCCTCAGCGCCGCTTCCCGCCCGCGCCCAAAGCCACTCACCGGGGCGCAGGGCTGACACCCCAGGCCGGGGACTCTGAGCGGCAGGGGAGGTGGGGGCTCTGCCTGAACTACGCCACACCACACGGCGTGCGGCGAGGCCACTTCCTAGAAGCCCGGACACTTTGACCGCTTGACCTTCCACTGGCTTCGCGAAGGGGCAAAAACTAATTCCATTAAAACGAGTCCCAAAAAGAGAAGCAGAAAAGCTAGATCAGCCGGTCACGGAACCGAGCAGCAGCCCGAGGCTTCGCGCTTCCCCGGCTTCGCCTTCGGTTCCCGCTGTGGTGCGTTGCGAGCGCGGGCCCCGCCGCGTTCACGTTCCTGACGCACTGGACGCCCATTCGGAGCCGGGGCCCGGTCCCTGAGAACATGCGCGAGGCGCCGGCGGGCAGAGTCCCGAGCGGGCGCGGATCGGCAGCGCGGCGTCTTAGAACTCAGGGCTCGGGGTCCCAGACGCTCGGGGGGCGGGGGCGGGAGTGGGGCTCCCGGAGTCACGCTCCGTGCTAGCCCGGGCCGGCGCTGTCCCCTCCTGCCCGAGCCACATGGCCGGAGACCGGCGTCCATGGCCGTGTCCTCGACCGTGGGACACCGGCTCGCTGGGGACAAGTGTCCCTGCTGCTTGTTTCTCTCCTGCCACACAGGTCGGTGCTAATCATTCTACGCTGGTCACCTGCTCACCTGTCCGCACCGCACCCACACTGCAGCACCACGTCCCCCTAGCTCACGGCCTGGCCCGGTCCCCGCACAGTGGGGGCGGCACCGTGACCTATGCACAGGGACCACGCCCTGCCCGCTGCAGAGAGGTGACGGCGGCCGTGGCCCGGGCGGGAGCCAGGAGCCCGTTTCTCAGCGCCCCCCACGTGCACCGGGTGCTGCTGCGGCGCATCCAGGACACGGGGCCTTACCAGGCTCCGGCGCCGTCCAGGCCTCGCACTTGAAGAGCTCGCTGGGGTCCGAGGGCTGCCCGACCCCCACCACGTTGCTGGCCGCAATCTTGAACTCATATAATGAGCCTTCCGTCAAGTCCTCCACCTGTTCAGATAGTATTTACATTAATACGCAAAACATGAGCCACGGGACGGTCCCCTGGGGGCGAGGGGTACGGGTGACCGAGTGACAGAATGACTGAGGGCAGGGACTCCGCCGGCCGCCCCGACCGAAGCGTCTGGGGAAGGCGGCCACACGCCCGCCGGGTGGCAGGCGCTGCGTGAAGCCCTCCATCTCCTGCCTCACGGGTGATGGTGGCGCAGACAGGGAAACTGAGGCTCAGAGAAATTAAAGTCACAGAGGGCAAGAGGGAGAGCAGGATGAGGCCACAGCCCCCGTGGACATCACAGGAGTGGAGACGGGATGCCTCCTCGCTGGGGCGGGGCCTGCCGACGGGACACCGGGCTCCTGGCTACAAGTCCCTTAGGGGACAAGGCCACGCTCAGCGGTAGGGTCTGGTCGATGCCACACAAGACAAGGGGAGCCCTCGCCAGGGCCTTCAGCCCGGCCTCCTGGCGTGTGGGCGGGAACAGACGTGACGTCCAGGGAGGTCACCTCTGGATGCTGAGAGCCCCCTGCGTGTCTGAAGGTACCGCTCTCCTCCCTGTGGACACGGACAGCCTCCCCCCGGAAAAGGGGAAGGCCCCTGACGGGGAACAGGACAGCGAAGCGTCAGGGTTAACCATGGACAGCACAGCAGCAAGGTCACACCAAGCCTGAGTCTGGGCAGCACACGTCACAACACACGTGTGTGAAGCACGTGATAAACACAGGTGCCAAATCCTAATGAGTCATAAAGCAGGATCTTCCACAAAACAGAGAGCAGAACTTCTATGAGTCCCCCCAAAAAGGAGACCTCAGCTTACAGCGTGACTCTGGGGGGGAGCGGAGGGGAGGGGGCATCACCCGGGAGACAGACGAGCGGTCGGAACCCACCTTCAGGACCCTGTCTTGGACGGGTGCGGAATTGACCTCATGCCAGTTCTGGTGATGGGCCTCGCGCTTGTCTACGAAATAACCGAGGATGGGCGCACCGCCGCTGAATCTGGGGACCTTCCAGCCGAGGGTCATGGAGTGGCCGTCGCAGTTGAGGAGCGTGACCCCGTACGGGTGGGAGGGGACGGCTGTGAGGGAACGTGGGGGGCGACAGGTGACCGGAGCCCGGCCGCCCCGAGTGAGACAGAGGCCCGAGCACTCGGCCCTCTCTGCCTTTCTCCGCCTACCCTTCAACCACCTTTGTTTTTCTCTCCTTTTTAAAAGAAAGTTTAGGAAATGCTGTCCTGCATGTTTTTGGCTATTTCTCATACAGTCCCCAGAGCGTCACTAACCCCAGGGCAACAGGCTACTTCACACCGGCTGGACGTGTGAGGTGACGGCTTCTCCCCGCCCCTCCGAGGGGACCGGGTGAGGGGCGCCGGTGGCTCCGTGGAGGCCGATGCCGCCGAGGCCAGGGAGCCTTCGCCCCCGCCCGCTGCAGACACGGGTCGGCTCCACGGAGCGCGGGATCATTTCATAAAACGCTGGAAAAAGTTTGCCTCTGGTTTTCCCCAACTCTGAGTAACCCATAGAGTAAAAATGGAAACGGCTGGTTTTCATTTCATAGGAATGACTCAGAGGCAGGTGGGGAGTGTCTGATATTCCCTCCTGGGAAAAATAGACAGATTAGAAGGATGGCCTTAAAACAACAACAAAAACGTACACTTTGCTCTCTGCCCACCTAAGTATTATCAGATTTGACATCGCTTGGAAATTCTAGAAACATTATTGTTGGAAATTTTAATTTCAGAAAATATTTTTAAATTTAGCTGGAGAGAAAGATAATTAAAGAGCAAAGCATTTCTCTCAGAAGGAAAAAGGTGACACTATGATGCAAAATGTGTGAGATCAGTGGCCTTTCTGTTTCAAACCGGTCCTCAAAACGTTTCGGCGACGAGGTGGGGTCACGTGAAATAAGCAAAAACAAAATGGTAGCTTCACAGATCAGCTGCGCCAGGGCCCGTCACTGCGATTTTAGATCCGAATCGTTCGGTTTGATCAAAATAATAATGTTTAAAAAACATGATTGAGGAGCAAAGCCTCAAAGTTAACCACCTGAAATTCTCTAGAAGGGTTTATTAAAGTTCCTTGAACCAAGAAGAGCTGGAGAGCCCAGTGACGTTCTATTTCAAAAGAGAGGTGGACGCACGCCCCACAGCCACTACTTTAACGTGGGCTCAGGAACTTGGCAACAGACGTGACGTCCAGCAGCATCTTCTGTCTTTAATGTGCAAGTCACCCGCATCTCTCCATTTCTCCCTCTCCCCACGGCCTGTTTCTACCCCCCACCCCGTCTCCTCCGATGACACCCTGAATGGCATCACGAACGTTTGTTCCTACAGAAATTAAAGCCCGCCGTTACCCCGAAACGGGAGGGCCGGCGCCAGACTCACTGAGGGGGGCCTGGACCTTTATGGCATCTGATTCCTGCGAGTTCTCGCTGGTCCCCACGGCGTTCACCGCCTTGACCCGGAAGATGTACTGCTCGCCAGGCGTCAGGCCGTGCACCACGAACCTGGGGGCACAGGGACGGCGCGTCACCAGGCTCCACCCCCGTCCTCCCATGGCGGGGACAGAGCCCGTGAGCACCCTTCAAACGTCCTCACCGGACCGAAAGGGTGAAGATTTCCTGATGCCTCGCATCCGGTTACACACACCTGTCTTCACTTTCTTAGCTCATTGGTTGGGACCGACACGCAGGGTCAAAGCGCAAGGTGGAGACACCTGGTTCCAGCAGGAGCTGACGTGCCAGGGTCTCGGACGCAGGAAGCAAGGCCCTCGCCACTCCCAAGCACCCCGCTCAGGGCCAGAGACCCTGCTCTGTGCGTTGTCCTGGTTCTGTCCGATCGAAGGTGCATTACAAACCCCCGGGTGTGGAAACTTCGTGCGAAGCCGTTCCCCGTGGGAACGGAGAGGTCGGCGCAGACCCAGACACCGGCTTTGCCGAGCGGGGGTGTCCTTCGCCGCCCGAACCCCGAGAGGTGACCACCCTCGCAGCACTGTGATGAGCGTCACCTGAGAGACCGCAGGTGTCTTTCCTGCAGGGCCTGCAAACACGTGCAAACCATTCACGGAGCCCCTGCCCTGAAGTGACATTTTAAGTGTTCGCTTCTGAGAGATCCTCCCGCATCTGCTGGCCACGGGCTGGGACTAACGTACCCATCATTCTCCTGAGTGCATCTCTGCTTTCTCCAATTATTAAAAAAAAAGTTTGAAAAGCAACGATGGCTGTGCCCTACCTGCTGACCCATCCCCAGTGGAGAGGCTGACAGCCGCCTCGTTTCCCTAGGAAGCACGCCCTGGAGCAAGCCCGGGAACCGCAAACGGCCCTGGCACATTCGGGACGAGTGACGGTAAACCCGGTGCCGAGCAGAAGTGCTCGCCTCGCACCTCGGAACGAGGTCCCCGGGCTTTGTCCCAGCCGGCGGCCAGCACAGAGGACTGTCAGTTATGTGAACAAAGCAATTTAAAAGTTCTGAAAATCATCTGCGGCCACGCCACCCTGAACGAGCCCGGTCCCGTCTGATCTCGGAAGCTAAGCCGGGTCGGGCCTGGTCAGCACTTGGATGGGAGACCACCGAGGAAGACCAGGTGCTGTAGGCATGAAGAATAATAAATAAAAAATAAGGGATTGTAAGCTGACAAGGTCCTTGCGATCTGTGAGGTCAACCAAGGGTTGCCTCACCAAAAAAAAAAGAGTTCAGAAAATCAATTCGGAAAAACAAGACACCGTCCGCAGCACAGGTGCCGTGTCAACTGTCCCCTCAGAGGTCAGTTTAAGTGCTCGTTTGGCCAGAAGCGCCAAGGAGGTTCCAGAACCCCTTTTACAACGGCAGGAAAAGCCCTTCGGCCAAGGACACAGGAGCCGGCTCAGCGACCTCAAAGCCGGGCGTCCTGGTGAGCGGATGAGAACGCGGACTCCGGCGGAAGCTTCCCAGATCCCCCTCTCCCCGGCCTGTGCCCCCCTCAGCGTGCGCTTCGTGTCTGGGCTCTGCTTCCTGAACTTGACCCCCGGACGGTGGGCGGGGCTCCCGGGCGCAGCACCTGTTGTAGCCAATGGGCTTGTGGTTGCACGGTTCCCAGATGTTGGACCCTGCCACGCAGCAGTCCACGTAGTAGCCCAGCAGGTCCTCGTCCTGCCTCGGCCTGTCCCACCGCACCACCACAGACGTCTTCGTGTCACGGGACGCGAAGACCCGGCCAGGAGCAGAAGGAGCGGCTTGAAAGGGGGGACACAAATGGACGTGGTCAGCGCCTCCAGCCTCTGGCAGATGCACCAGACCCTCTGGCCCCTCTATCCGCGGGGTTTGGGCCGGTAGGTGAAATTTGGGCGAGGAGGACGGGACAGGGACACAAATAAGGGGTGGGCAAACAGCCAGGGGACCCCAGGGGTCCTCACCATCCTCTCTGTCCTCCCAAGGCCCCGCCTGTCCCCAAACAGAAGGACGTGCAATCGCACGGCCACCGAGACCACTGCAAAGATCTCCAGTGACACACGCACTTTGGCTGACTGGGCGGCAACTGCCTTGGAATGAGAATTTAACGCTTGCAAGACAGCGAGACGCATTTCCATCGGCTCCAGCGGACTGGAGAGGGGACTCGAGTGCCAGCCCTGCCGCCCGGACCCCTCTCCCCAGCAGAGGCCGGGACATGTACGGCAGCATGTGATCGCCTCGCAGAGGGGGCTGCAGCCACACGGGGAAGAGACTCCAGCACACTCAGGGTTGAGTGACCATGGCCTAGAAATGTTTCTGAGCCATTTATCACTTTCACAGAGGAAGATGGAACTTTGAAGCATGGCAGAGAGAGCGTCGCCTCACGTAATGGAGGCGCCTTGAAGTTTAACTCCTAGGCCACGTTTGTCCGTGCAAAGTAGTGGTTAAGTGATGTCGCCTTATTCGGGGCCCGTCCTCACTTCTGGCCACGCGCTGACTACTCACCGACGGTGTCCTGAGCCTGGATGGGGGGCGTGATTTCCGACGGCTCGCTCAGGCCGTGCTTGTTTGCAGACAGAACTCGGAACACATATGGCTTCCCCTCGGCAAGGTCGAAGACGGCGTATCGAGGGGACCTCACGCCCACCTGGGCGTTGACCCGTTGCCAGCTGCCACTCCCGACCATGGACTGCAGGGGGAAGCAGGGCGGATGACAGAGAGCCTGGGCTCCCCCACATCGCATGATGACAGAGAGCCCGGGCTCCCCCACATCGCATGATGACAGAGAGCCTGGGCTCCCCCAAACTGTACTTCAGGGGTGTCCACCCTGTATCCACTGACTGAACCATCAATAAATCTTTCCTGAACTTTATGAAAAGGGGAACCGATTTGGAGAAGGGGGTAAGAAATTACCAAAAGTTGGAAATGCTTATCAGTAAAATTTTCGCTTGAGAGGGAATAATTAAACCATAGAAAACTTAAGGGAATCAATACATAGATTATACTTTTAGTAAAACGGAATGAACTGTAAATAGTTAACAATCATTTAGGAATACAGTCATAAAATGCCGTCATAAATCAACTGTTCCCTTTCGGTTTAAAATTGTTACTATTTTGCAGCTCCTCATAGTGGTAATGATGGAACAGCCACCCAGACAACTAGCGACAGGGTAAGGTACGTTGCGATACATTCATATTAAAATGTAGCCTTTAAGTTATTGTATAAAGGTCTTTAATAGGGCGAGAAGAATTGGATCATTTTGTTAAATGTAATTAAAATGTAAATCGTATCTATGATTTAACAAGTATGTAAAAACCTGGAGCGGAAAAGACTGTGAATATATACACCACTTGTTAATGTGACTTTCACATACGACAGAATTGTTGGTGGTTTTAATTTTATTCCATAGAAGGTCTGTGTTTTCCAAACGTTCTATGCTGCATGCTTAATTTTTGTCACCAATAATTACATTTAAAGGTTTAGTTGGGTGTTTAATTTTTTCCCCTTTTGAGGCAGTCTAGCTGGGTAGGCCGGAGGGCCCTGGCCACTCTGCACGGCGTCCACGTGCATGTCCGTTCCTGCCATGCGCAGCTAGCTGCGTCACACGTGCTCGTGCTGAGCGTGTGGCCCACGCGTGCGTCTGCGTGTTACACATCACAGTGCTACAGCTGGACCGCCACAGCTACGGACTCGTGTGGCCCCCGACGCCTTCCAGCCGTGGCCCACAACCCGACAGCTGGTCGCCAGATGGCGAGCGGGTGCGACCTGCACTTTCTAGCCAGCAGGACAGACCGAAGTGGGACAGAATGCAGGCTGCAGAGGTTGATTCTGAAATGCCGTTGGTCACATACAGTTATACACGTGTACACGTGTGTGCGCCTGTGTGTGTCCATGTCCATGTGTATGTGTGTGTGTGCGCATATCTGTGTGAGTCCGTGTGCATGTGTATCCGTGTGTGTGCGTATCTGTGTGCGTGTGTATCCATGTGTGTGTACATATCTGTGTGTGTTTGTGTGCATGCGTCCGTGTGCGTGTGCATTTGTGTGTGTGTATCCGTGTGTGTGCATATCCGTGTGAGTCCGTGTGCGTGTGTATCTGTGTGAGTCCGTGTGCATGTTATGTGTGTATGTGCGTATATGTGTGAGTCCGTGTGTGTGTCCGTGTGTGTGTGCGTATACGTGTGAGTCCTTGTGCGTGTGTATCCGTGTGAGTCCGTGTGCATGTGTATGCGTGTGTGTGCATATCTGTGTGCGTATGTGTCCATGTGTGTGTGCGTATCTGTGTGTGTTTGTGTGCATGTGTGTGTGTATCCGTGTGTGTGTGTATCCGTGTGTGTGCGTATCCGTGTGAGTCCATGTGTGTGTGTATCTGTGTGAGTCCGTGTGCATGTTATGTGTGTGTGCATATATGTGTGAGTCCGTGTGTGTGCATATACGTGTGAGTCCGTGTGCATGTGTATCCGTGTGAGTCCGTGTGCGTATCCGTGTGAGTCCATGTGCATGTATGCGTGTGTGTGTGCATGTCTGTGTGTCTGTGTGCGTGTGTATCTGTGTGTGTGTGCGTATCCGTGTGAGTCCGTGTGCATGTGTATCCATGTGAGTCCGTGTGCGTTTCCATGTGAGTCCGTATCGTGTGAGTCCGTGCGTATCCATGTGAGTCCGTGTGTGTATCCGTGTGAGTCCGTGTGCGTGTGTATCCATGTGTGCGCGTGTGCATGTGTATCCGTGTGAGTCCGTGTGCATGTCCGTGAGTCCATGTGTGGTGTATCCGTGCATGCGCGTGTGCGTGTGTATCCGTGTGAGTCCGTGTGCGTGTGTATGCGTGTGTGCGCGTGTCCAGGGCTGCAGTACACCAGCTACTTCCTTACACGCGTCCAGACCTGAGGTCTGGATACACACGGATACACACGCACACGCGCACGCATGTGCATCCTGCCACGCCAGTGAGCCCGGCCACCTGAAGCGGGACCTGCTCTACGAGGTGGCCACCCAGTGGCCACGCGGCGTATGGACAATCACCGAGCCGCAGCAAGCTCCCTGCGGCTTCTCCCTGTCTCAGGGGCTCACGGATCCCTCCGCCCGGTGCCCACGTGGACAGCAGGGCCTCTGAGACCGGGGACATGGCTCACACGGATGGCGCCACACCAGAGGCAGGACAGTGCCCCTGACGTGACGTGGGCCCGTTACAGACAGCTCGGCCAGCACTGGGCCCTCCTGGGCAGCAGCAAGCAAACGCTGGTAGGTGGCTTTGGCCGCTGCTCCCTTTAGGCCAGCTGCGCCCTTGACCCCCCGCAGACCCGCGGGCTCGGCCGGCAGGTACCTTCTCCACGAAGTACATCAGCGGCTCCTTGCCGCGGGGCACGGGTGGGTCCCAGCTGAGGACGACATACGTTCTGCTGATCTCGGAGGCGTGCACGTTGGTGGGGGGGCCTGGAATCTGGACGTCGCCTGCAGGGGGAACAAGCCCGGTGAGTGCCCGGTGAGCCCAGGTCGGCCCGCGGGCTCGGCCCGTCCTCGGAGCGCGGCTAGTGGGGAGCCGCTGGCGCGCAGCCACCGCCATATCGGCATCGCTTCTATTCCGGGAAAGTACACGAGCTGCCGGCTCGGACCGTGCGCCCCGAGCCGAGGGGGCAGGCCAGCCGGGTCACCGGAGGAGGGTCTAGGTCAGCGTTCCCGCTAAGGCTAGGGGCAGGTCCACCCAGAGGGAACCCAGCTGTCCCCCGAATGCAGCACTGGCCACGCTGGGGGGCTGTGCCCAGAAGGTGTTGCCACCATGCCCTACACTGCGGGATCCTGGCCGAAGGTCACCTACTCTCCGCCCTGCTCTCTTCATTCCTCCGAGCACTGAAACTACATGTCAACTCCTAAAGCACGTCGCCATGGCCGCCCCGCCGCACGCTCACGAGCCCGGTAAGCGACGCCTGCGCTCCCGAAATCCCCGAGCGGCCGCGCTAAGCCTCCACAAGTGACTAGGACGGCATATCTGCGGCCCCACACGTCTGACCTCCCTCCTGACACGAGTCTTTTTAATGTCACGTCAGGTGTCGGGTGTCATGTTCCGATCGCAGAGCTTCTCGATGGGGGCAGAGGGTCCCCAGAGCACGAGCCGTAATTGGAAACAAAGTGTCATGAGCCTCAGCTTAGCACATGCTCAAGAGGCTTGAAACCCTGGGACGTCTCTGAGCCCATGTCCACGCCCAGCTGCCCTGGGGACTCCACTGCCAGCGATGAAAAGCAGCCACATGGGAACCGCACGAAAGGACAGGGTTTCCCCTCCCAGAGCCCCATGTCAGGGTGCACCCCGTTTCATAAGCCGCCAGCGTAGAAGTGCTCCCGAGCCGGGAGCGCCCAGCAGGCGGTACCCGAGTTCTGGGTGGAGCGGCGCCTCAGAGCCCGGCCACCCGCTCCGGACCTGTGTGCTGTGTCCACGCCCGAGGTGACGCAGAGAGAGGGTGTGAGAACGTCGCCAAGGGACCTGCACGCCGAAGCCCAGACACGGGGTCGTTCACTTCCCAGGTGCCGGACGCAGACCCCAGGACAGAGGCTGCAGGAGATGATGGGAGCTGCGTGGCGTGAGCACCCCGAATGCAGACCAGCACCCCCACTTTCCGATCCCAATGCCCCGCTGTCCATGCGCCTGGCAGGGAGCTTCTCGGCCAGAGAAATGGAGTAAGAAACGCTTTATCTGAGGCCAGCTTTCGTCAGCGAGGGGTCCCCAACCAGGGAAAGATGCTCGAGTTCACTGGGGCTTTCGGCATCGCCCTGGGTGATGCAATGGCATGGGCCTGGACGGGTGGGTGACCCCGACCGCGGGCAGCAGGCAACAGGATTCCGAGGGCACCAAGGAGAGGGCGAGGGAATGAACGGACGTCCGCGGAGACTCCTGCGCCGAAGGGCGGGGCAGAGAGTGGAGAAGCCAACGACAGCCTCAGGCTGCCATCAGCATCGCGACGCCTCCCCGGAGCCCTGTTCTCACGGGTCAGCTCAAGGCGGGATGAAAAGTCAGAAAAGCGAAGCGTGTACCCAAGTCCGCACAGCCACTGACCGGCTGCACCGGGGTCCGCGGCCAGGGCTCGGTTCCGAATCGTGGGCTTCGTCCCAGAAACCCAGGGAAAGCACAGCTCGCCCAGAAGCTTTTTTCTCTGAGTCGATGAAACGTGACGTTTACTTGGAACTCGCGGGACCCCCGAGATGGCAGAATTCAAGAGACCACGCAACCGTGATTAGGCGCCGTAGCCTCCGCCCAGGGCAGCGGCCGCCGTGTGCGCGCGGCCGCCCCGCAGCCCGCGAGAGCCGCTCCGGCCTTCCCGGGAGCGGAATGTTCTCCAGGGAGCCGCTCAGGCAGGACTGGCCAAGGCGGAGGAGGTCAGGGGAGAATGGACAGGACTCGAGAGGCTGAAGAGGGCACTGACCGAGATGGAGGCGAGGAGAAAAATTTTAGCAAAACACCTAAAACAGCGGAGGAGCAACTTTTAACGAACGGAAGTAACGCTTCGTTTTCGCTGAAACGAACGACGTTCGCCAGTTCTTTTCTAGCTTAAACGACGTGAAAAGCGGAAAAGTCAGCTTAGGAGGAGGAAGGAAAGACGGCGGAGGAGGACTGAACCCTAAGGGCACGCTTTTGAGCCCAGAAGTGGTTTGCTTTAGGACGCTGTGGAATCCTCTCCAAAGATTTCTTAAACGAGCCGTATTCGTCACCGGACGCGCGTGGACACACTGACTCCCCGGAGCGCGGCCGGCCTGCAGGTGTTTCCCGGCCGGCCCCGTCTGCTCCGGACCGCGGGAACTGCCCGCTGGCCGCGTGGACACGGCAGGACACCGCAGGACACCGACACCCTTCGCGCTGGGCTCCGGCTGCGCTGACGTCCCCGGCCGGGCAGTGCCCCAGCGGAGTGTGCAGCCTCTGCCTCTCGTGACCCGCCTCACACCCAGAGCCCCGGAAGCTTCCCCAGGCTCTGACTAAAACGCTCCAGGTTCCAGAACGCTTCGAACGCCGCGGAGGCCCAGGCCGAGCAGCCAAACCTGCCTCCTCGTGAGAAGGGAACGTGGGAAATGCTACCTGTGACGGTTTCGGTTGGACATGAGACCTGATGTGTTTATCAACTCCTTATGGGGCAGAACGTAAATGGTTGTGGACACCGTTCGTGGGCAAACGTGAAAGTCAGCCGGTGACTTCTGCATCTGCAGGGACAATGTTCGGGGCGGAGAGAGTTTTGAAGAGCTCAGAGTCCATCTCCCCGGGCCGCTCCAGCCCGATTCATTCTTTTCGGTTTTGATTTTTCGCTCATTTTCCTCTGTGAACTCTAATTATAAGTCCAATTAAAATGTTGGGATTTCTGTTTAATAATGCTAGAGTCTCCTTATTAAATCTATCTTTCTGGATATCTCTGGAAGGAATATTAAGTTTCATAAAATCCAGTAAGGACTGGATTTGATGGGAAAGATTCGATCCATTTAGTTAAAATATTAGAAATAAAATTTTTGCTTAAACAAATAAAACAAAATACTCTTCCAGTAACGGCATCTGTGAGGGAGAAAGCGGGCATCAGCCAGTCATCGGATCTCAGACTCGGTTTGGTTTCTTCTCTGTATGTCCCCAAAAGAATGCCTTAGTGGACCCCAGTGCAAACAAGCGTCCACGCCTCACGGCACTGTGACCTTCCTCCTCACACCTTCATTCTGTCCTGCTTTTTTTTTTAACTTCTATGAACCTTAAGCTTGCAAGCTGGAGCTACAGTTTTTAGTTCTACATGTAAATAGGTGTTCTCTGTCTCTCTCTCTCTCTCTCTCTCTGTCTCTGTCTCTGTCTCTGTTTCTGTCTCTGTCTCTGTCTCTGTCTCTCTCTGTCTCTCTCTCTCTCTGTCTGTCTCTCTCTCTCTCTCTCTGTGTCTGTCTGTCTCTCTGTTTTGCATTGATTGATAAATAATGCAAGTACTCATTTTCTCCCTCCTTGTTAAGGAAAATTTTTTTTTATTTTTTTTTTTTTGGGAGAAAGGGATGAGTGCCGCCCTTGTGTGTGTGTGTGTGTGTTTGTGTGTGTGTGTGTGTGTGTGTGTGTGTTCGTCTGTCTGTCTGTCTGTCTGTCAGTCTCTCTCTCTCTCTCGTCTGGAATTACAAGCCTAAACCCCTAGGGCATAAGCAGCTGAAACAGAGTGAAGAGGGACTCACCTTCCAGGTCGTCCTGGTAGAGCACAATTTCTTTGTCCCCCTCCAAGTGGACCGCTGCAGAGAGAAAGGGTGATGCTAACGTTGACACCCAAAGGTTCCCTAAGAAAGTGCCGGTTTTCCTAATCGGTCACGAGGTCCGAATCGCCTTTGCGATGACGGCCACAGCGTGTGCACTGCCCTGGCCTGACCAGAGTTGATATCTTGGAAAAGGTCCTAAAAATATTAACACGTCTCAACTCTTTGTTTTGGATTCAAAGGACCGTGCAGGTAAGGAAAACACAGTGGCTCCCTGAAACCCTAACTCCCTGAAACCCGACCCCGCCCTGCTACCCGCAGCATCTGCGAAGTTAACATTCCCGAGCAGAGTGGCCGGCTCTCGACACCCCTAAGTGTCCTCGTGTGTCGAAATCACACCACCCGCAGGCTTAGGAAAGGCTGGTTCTGCACCCACTCGGCTGCCTTTCGGCGAAGAGCACAGGGAGGTGCAGGTGTCAGCTGGGTGTGGCCAGGCTGAGGGGGAGGTGAGG